ACGGATCGTAATCACCATCGGACTCTGACGTACATCGGGAACCTGCACGCAGGCACTCCACATCTCACAGAGGGGAAACTACGCCTAAGAATCAACCTTCATGAAGGCCTAGAGAGAAATCTCAAGACTTCAGGTAGGATACACGATTATATCGGGATCGTTCACCTGCACACAGTTCGACATACAGATCTTCATACAGAGACTCACGTCGTCGTGGATCGTCAGATCGGGAGATGTTTAAGTTGGATGAAGAAAGTGAGGTCATATTCTCCGATGCGGAAGTAACCTCATGGCTTGCTAATGGCCTGGACCTAGCATCACCTTCCAAGGACACAGACGAAGCGTTTACATACAAGATGTCCAACGATGATTTCGACACACTCATCTTTCTGCCTATCGACCCGATCTCCCAAGTACCAGACAGTCTCAGCTCAGCCTTTGATAAGGCTACCAAGTTCCAGAATCAGCATATCCCGATGTTCAATGCCAGGAAATTCCCCTTACATCACATGGAACCCTTCCTGAAGGCACCAGAGATTGATGAGGACTACAAGATCATCAATGACTCCCGCTATAGGACTAACAAGATAGAGGACAAGAAGCTAGCGCAACTGGATACGACTACTAGACATACCTTTTTCAGACTAGCCAGGTCTAGGGCTATCAACAAAGCACTCACCTCGAAAGTTCAAGAACTCCACCGCCTAAGATGGCCAGATGATATATTCTGCTCTACTGACTCAGAAAATGGACCAGCAGTTTATGTCGGAGCATCTAGCATCCACATCAGCGGGCCTGACTCTCCTGAGGAGACAAGGATTATTGTCAGCGTGCACCTGGAGTGAGCGGTTCACCAAGTCCTTATACAGAGCCCCATGGTCAGCATCATCCATCTTCGGAGGAGGAATTGAAGAAGTCGCCAAAGAGGTTACACAGGAATCAAGGGAGGTCATGATGATTAAGTCCATAGATACCTTGGCAAATGTGATTCGCCAGACGTCCCAGCGCTACTCCAACAAATCCAAGTTTGCAGGACTCCAGAGAGCCAGAGAATAGAAATATTCCAACTCGAGAGGAGGAAGAGGTTCTTTTCGTTGCCCAACTGGAGCCCCCAGAAGCAACCCCAGAAGAGGCCGAGCACCCAGGGGTGCCAGGGGAATCAAGCGCTGAAGGACAGGTTTGGAACATTCCAGTACAACCTTCGACAGTGGGTGGACGTCTTCAACGGTACTGGGAGAATTGGGTTATACTACAGGACGACTACGTATCCCAGATACTACGCAGAGGGTACAAGATACAGTTGGAAGCCACTCCACCACTTACAAGCAACCTGCTGGCCTTCAACTACGCAGCCGACCAGACAGAGAAACTGGACGACGCAATCAAGACTCAAGATGATACATCTCGTTCGTCCATCAGACTACCTCGCCAGCATAGATCTACCTACACATCCCGATACATCTGGACTCAAGGAAATACCTAAGATTCCTTTTCAACGGACATCACTTCCAGTGGAAGGTTCTACCATTTGGAATATCATCGGCCCCCTGGTTGTGAGTGTGACCAAGCCCATCATCACATATCTACATCGCCGAGGTCTACGCAGTGCTTTTTACCTAGACAACGGAATTCAAGTTCATCAAGATCCCAGTCAACTCAGACTGCAACTAGATTTCACCATCAGGCTTCTCACTCAGTTAGGATTGCTGGTAAATCTCATCAAGTCGGAACTGGAGCTGAAACAGGATCTTCAATTTCTAGGAATACGACTCATCACGCCGGTGAATCCGTAGTCGTCCCAGAGGATCGTCGGGTCAAGATACAACATATGATATCTCAAGCAATGCTCTCTCCGTTGACACTACGTGCTTGGCAAAGAATTATCGGTCTACTCACCTCAGCTCAAGACATGACTCACAGAGGATATTACAGCTGCGCCCACTACAAATATTTGTGAACGCCCATCTCGACAGTCTGGATCCGCTGATACTACCGGACAGCTTGAAACCATACCTCCTATGGTGGACTCAGAAGTCGAATGTGGTCGAGTCGAGTCAGGATCAGAGTTTGCACATCAACCTGTTGGAGATGGAAGCAGTGATCGTACTAAGGAACGCAAGGCTCACGGTCCACACGGACAACTCCACAGTAGTTTCTACATCAACAAACAAGGATCAACAAGATCAACAAGTCTGCTAAAACTCAGCTTTCTCCTGTTCAGCATCGTGGACGACCTGAACATCTACATGAAGGCATGCCACATTCTAGGAGCAAAGAATGTCATAGCAGACGCCCTATCTCGTCCACTACAATCATCCCCGACGGAATGGATGTTACATCCAGAAGTGTTCCGGTTCGTCATACAGACAGTAGGATCTCCACTCATAGTCCTGTTTGCAACAAAGTTCAACAAACAACTACCAACATTTGTCTCACCGATTCCGGATCCTCAGGCATGGGCAACAGATGCTTTAAGCATCTCATGGGAAGGACTAAACGCTTATGCGTTTCCACCTCCAGCACTATTACCACAAGTAATGCAGAAAATCAAGCAGACGACAACGTTGCAACTGATTTTGGTTGCGCCCTTTTGGCCAGCGAGGGTATGGTTTCCCGTCCTCATACAAGAACTCGGAAGTCCAACCCTGAAACTACCAGAGTGGTCGAACCTGCTTGGCCATCCACACACCAAGCAAGCTCATGGGAATCCGGCATTGTTCCAGCTACACGCGTGGAGCGTATCAAAGCTTGCCTGAAGACAAGAGGGAACTCTGCCAGAGCAGCGAAAGCAGTAACACTAGCTCTACGCAGATCAACTCGCAACTTGTACGACGACAAGTGGCAGAGATTTGAACAGTATGTAACAAGGAAAGGCTTTACGGCGGTGAAAGCAACCCATCCTCAAGTGGCGGAATACTTGTGTCATTTGCGACAGACGAGACACTTAAAAGGTTCAACACTCTCAAAGTACCTGGCTGCTCTCAGCACAGTTATCACCATGAAGACGGGTGTCAAGCTGACCAAGGTACCAGAGGTACTGGCACTACTATGCTCGTTCAAGATGGAAGACCAACAAAAGAAATTTAAGGCTCCTGCCTAGGATCTCAACGTAGTTCTACAACATCTCACCAGTGACGCCGATAAGCCTCTAGAATGGACATCCTTTGAACTACTGACACACAAAACGCTGATCTGATCGCCCTAGCAACAGCAGCTCGGATGTCAGAAATACATGCTCTGGACTTTGAATGAACACGATTTGAATCAAGACATCGTGACATCGTACATCTAGGACTGAGATGGGACTTTATTGCCAAGAACCAACTGCCCGGCCAGCCTGACAGACAGTTCCACATCCCAGCACTTTCTACAGTCCTTGGGCCACAGGATACACAGGATTTATCCTTATGCCCTGTCAGAGCATTGAAAGTCTACCAACAAAGGACAAAAACAAGGACACGAAAATTCAAGCGCCTATTCATCCCCTTATCCACTGAGACGCCCACGGAAGTCTCACGGACAACGATATCGATTTGGATGAGAGCCATCATACTAAGGGCCTACAAAGCAGCAGGACTTGAGCCTCCACGAGCCTCCAATCCCCACGAAGTCAGAGCCTTGGCGTCTGCACTTGCTTTGCATGGAAACTGCTCGATTACAACAATAATGGAGGGCTGCTTTTGGAAATCGGACATGGTGTTTGCCAACCACTACCTCGGAGACATTGCCACCGAAGACGTCTCAGGCATTCACCAATTTGGGCCACTTGTTGTAGCACAACAACTAACGGTTCCACAAAGGAGCTGAGAAAAAATCTTACCCTTTTATCACGTGACTTGTGAAAACCAACGCTTTGGAGAGCAAATGGAGAGCAAGTCCATGCACATGTCTAGGACAGGCTAGCATGAGTGATAGACCCTGTACTGGTATAGGACTTATTCGTACATAAGAAGGGTCGTATCTCCACTTGATGCGCGCATCAAGAGATGGAGTTGCAAGAGATAACTAATGGAACATTAGTATATCTAAAATCAACACGAAAATGTCAGAAGTTTCGGAAGAAATCTGACAAATCAGACTCATCAGAGGGAAGTTGGAAGAACAGAATCATCAGCAGTGCCGTCATAAGTTCCCATGGCGGGTAATACAGGACGTAAATCAACAGCCAGTGAATCCAGGAAGTGGCCTGACCCACCACCGATTCCGACGGATTCTGCAAGCATTTAGCATGAGTCAGGATAAGGAAAAATATGTAATTTTCTGACTAAAATTGATATTTTATACTTATCCTGACTCATGAGGTCAGCCCTCCCAACCTCCCCTCTCAGGGCACTCTGGATTTCCCTGTTAATCAGTGTGTCGGGCGTGCATCACGGAGAGAGTGACAAACATGGCTGGTCATGTGACCCCGAAAAGGGCGCCAAAGGAGGCAAGGGAGACTACTCGTGGGTGAGTGATGATTTTACGTCCGCTTTTTAGAAGGGAACTTCAAGGGATTTCAAGTGTTCCACTATCATTCGCAGGAAGAAGGAGACAAGCATTTAGCATGAGTCAGGATAAGTATAAAATATCAATTTTAGTCAGAAAATTACATTTTTGTTCACTGTTTCTGGTGTCCCCCACCATTATTGCTGGCCTCATGCTAAAAGTCGTAATACCATACTCAGTCACTCATTATAAATTTAAATATAAAGACTAAGCACACTATTGAAAAATTTCATTATAAATATTCATAATCCCAACTCATTTAGTTTGGTATATAAGTCATCTGTTGAGCCCCTTTTGCTGTCATCAGACTGCATTAATGTCGCTGTAGAAGACGATGGTAACAGTTATTCTGTGAATGCTTCACTGACTCTACCCAGTCCAGACCATGAGACTAGATGTGCAGTTTTGTGTGTGAAGGCAGACAGGTTGCATGAATTACCCATGGTAGTGATTACTATCCAAATCTGTTCAGATTGATTATTGATTCATCCATTGTTACGTTGTTGTTTCAGATGTTGAATAAGGAATTTAAAGGGAAGGTTACCAAAACAGATGTTCGAGAGGATGGACAGTTTGACATCACGGTTGAATCAAAGTGCCTTTTGTTCAAGTAAGTCTTGAAACTGTGGCTCTTGTCACTGTCACCTTGAGGTGAATATGAATATGCTGATGTACCATAATTTTACTAATAAAAGGTTTTCAGAGAAGTGTTGTGAGGATGCTTCCAAGGCGATGAGTCACTATAATTCATTATCCAGCCTCATGTCAGAATGTCGAGTTTTGATTGGTTCACGTGAGTCTGATAAAATACCATGTACACCCTTCACGATCCGCGAGCAGGGAGTACAAAAGTCAGATTATCCCGCCACGCCTCGGTGACCACGCGAAGTGAGAAAAGCGTGCATCACCAAGCCTTTAGTAACGTGCGCTGCATTGAGGTCAATCGATCAGCTGGTGTCAACATGGCAGCAAGGAAACGTTTTGCCACATCTCACATAAATAAAATCAAGTCGATTCGATGTGATTTGTTTTCTTTTGATTTAGTAAAAACATTCGGCTAGATAAATGCGTTATCACATCGTGTCTTGGAAATACATGGTTTTATCGGTCCCTCGTAAGGTTGTATTATCTTACTCGGGACTGATAAAACCCCGTATTTCCCGAGACACGATGTGATAACTTATAGTATTCATAATTGTTTCCCTTTGTTATGGCAGGATCCGCTGATCCTGGTTTCAAAGCCTGTTAGGTTCACAGATTTCTGTGAAGTGATCAGTGTATGTCAGTTTCATTCTTTCCACAATGAGCTAACATGTAGTATACAGCTGAAATTCTGGGGGTGGTTTAAAGCCCACACAATATTACTGAAATATTTCAGAAGAGTCCATGTTGTTGATGTGTACGTTGTTAATGCTGCTGATGCCCACATTGTTGATGTGTGTGTGTGTGTTTGTAGGGGCCTTGACAAGCAGCAGTCTGTGCTACTGACCCACGGAGACAGCATCACTGAAACAGCAGAAGGCTTTCAGGTCATTGCCCGGTCGGGGAGCATCACTGCTGGTGAGCTGTTATAGTTCAATGTTCGAAATTATGCATGTTAAACCATTACCAAGTCATAGATTTCCTGGATTCAAAAGATATCACTGAAATATTGTTCAAAGCCTTGCTAACCCAAGCTGACTCCTTCATTTACAAAGGTATCGCCAACGAGAAGCTGAAACTGTATGGTGTCCAGTTCCATCCTGAAGTTGACCTGACAGAAAATGGCCGACAGATGTTGCGTAACTTCCTGTTTAACGTAGTGGAGTGCCATGGAGCGTTCACCATGAAGTGCCGAGAGAAAGCCTGTATCGACTACATCAAGGAAACAGTTGGAGAACAGAAAGTCCTGGTACGTGAAGTGTCCCAGGACAAAAACAGTCCACATTGTTTTATGATCGTCTGCACAGATTAGATACTGTTTTAGTTTCATTCTTGATGCTGTGTGGGTAGGTGACAGTATTTTCTGTATTATATCAGTATTGATTGGGGTTGGTGGGGTAGCCTAGTGGTTAAGGCGTTTGATCGTCACACCGAAGACCCGGGTTCAATTCCCACATGGGCATAATGTATGAATCCTATTTATAGTGTCCCCTTGCCGGTATATTGCTGGAATATTACTAAAAGCGGCATAAAACTCTCACTCACTCACTCACTCAGTACTGATTGCTGTACTGCTTGCTGTTAGTGGTGCAAGTGGCATGCTGTATTTCTCTGTGCAGAGCTGCAATCTGCGGGTGACTATAGGTTCAAATCCAGGTTGCCCACGGTCATTTTGGGGGGGTTTGTCTGCACCATACCGATGGTCATAGGTTTCACCGAGGTGGTAACACATCTCATACCATTGTATATTCCTTCCACATGAAGTTGACAGAGTTCAGTGTTACTGAACTGTTCTTTGCATTCTTCTGGGGTGACCTGTTTAATCTCTGTCCCTCCATGTGTAGATGCTGCTGAGTGGTGGTGTGGACTCCACTGTGTGTGCCGCGCTCCTCCACAAGGCTCTGAAGGATGACCAGGTGATTGCTGTACACATCGACAATGGTTTCATGCGAAAACACGAGAGTCGACAAGTTGAAGAGTCTCTTAGTGGAATGGGCCTGAAAGTTCGAGGTAAGGGAGGTAACTGTGAGGTAGATGGTGTAGAGATTCTCTCACCACCACCATTTATCAAGGAGATTAATAAGAAGGAACTGTTTGTATTTTTTCAGCATAATGCGTTATACTCTGCATGTTTGCTTTTCATCAGTGGTTCACTCGGCACACACATTCTACAACGGAACTACCTCAGTGCCGATTGACAAGTACAACTCAAACTCCCGGAAGCGTCGCACAAACACCCTCAACACCACGACCAACCCCGAAGAGAAGCGGAAAATCATTGGAGATACCTTCATGAAGGTATGTTCTGGGGGTGGTATGCGAGTGGTGCATCAGACTCAGCGATGTTAGTTCTGTGGGGCAGCCTCTAGGTGTTGTCATGGTGATCAGGTATCACATTCAGTTGAGTTAAGTTGGGTTCTAAGTCACATTGGCATTATTCCAACCATAGTCCAACGATATGATATGGTTTTTTGTGGTAATTGGTCTGTTCAGGGATTGTGGGGAGATTCTGTTTTAACCTATTCAACACCGCTGGCTGAATAATCAGTTACAACATCATCTGTCATCACAGAGTCTCGGAAACTTGGTGTCATGGCAGTGAAAGCTTCTTGTTGACTGGTGTTGAAAGAGTTAAAATCTGTAATGATTTATTCCAAAGCCAATTGGAATGTGCCTAAACTGAAAAATGTCAATGGAATTCATAGCTCTGGAATTTGTTTTCATACCTGGGGCTGTTGCTCTCGGATACAGATAATAAGATACAGCAGCCATTCACTCACCATTCTTGATCCAAAATCTGAAAACATCTGGGTTAGAATAATGCTGTGCTGGGTGTCGGGCTCTCTGACTTGGTTGATGCATGTTATCGTATCCCAACTGGGGGATCCCCATTCATTGATGCTCATGATGTCAATCACTGGATTGTCTGGTCCAGGCTCTGAACATTTACAGACCACTGTCATATGTTTTGAATCTTGCTGACTGTGGCTATAAACAACAAGCAAAAATTTTGTGTGATGTGAGAGTTTTTGACGTGTATTAGATGTGGCTACATGCTTTACCTGTCATTCTGCAGGTAGCTAACGAGGTGATAGAGGAACTGAAACTACAGCCTGAAGAAGTGTTCTTAGGACAAGGTAAGCATTTTGCTGTTCTTTGAGAAGATTCTTTAAATATGTCATGTAATGACAGGTATTTGTAGAGCTAACTGAATCCTTGTTTCTCGTTGGTGTTGTTTACCTGTGTCTGTGCACACGTTGTGTTTACTGCTAGATCTTCCACACCTAAAGGTGTAGACACCTGTATCCAGCGTATGATTTCAGGGAGCTATTGAGACTCTATTTGTTATCTTAGGACTGCAGCAAATGTCAGTAAAAGTCCCTTGTTATTTAATTACAATAAGAACTAAAGTTGGACTTGGCTGTGGTGAGTTGTATTTAACTTATAGCAGGTTCACTTGAGGAAGAATCTTATACCTGATTTTTCAGAAAATAAGAACTGAAATTATTCCATATTTTTACCAGTTTGCCTACACTGATTTTGGAGTCTTAGATAATCCCTTGTTTATTCAGGTACATTACGTCCAGACCTGATTGAGAGTGCCTCCGAGCTGGCGAGTGGGAAAGCTGACGCCATCAAGACACACCACAATGATACCGATCTAGTTCGTGAACTCAGGAAACAGGTACCCTTTGGCTTGCTCAATGTAGATGTGATTTGTTGGAGATTTGAACAGATTTGTTCTGTGGTGAGCTCAGGCAAGTGAGTTTGGTCTTTGGCAACTTTTCAAAATATTCTAGCAATATCACTGCGGGGAACACCAGAAATGGGCTTCACACATTGTACCCATGTGGGGAATCAAACCCGGGAATCGACGAGCTATCGCTTTAACCACTGGCTAACCCACTGCCCTTCTCAGGCAGGTGTTGACCAGACTTTGTGATTTGTGATTTGGTTGATGGTATGACATTGTACAAAATGTGTGAGCTGGCTTCATAGCAAATAAGGGGCGGTGGGGTAGCCTAGTGGTTAAAGCGTTGGCTCGTCACGCCGAAGACCCGGGTTCGAATCCCCACATGGGTACAATGTGTGAAGCCTATTTCTGGTGTTCCCCTCCGTGATGTTGCTGGAATATTGCTAAAAGCGGCGTAAAACCAAACTCAGTGAGTCAGTCATAGCAAATAATAATTCCTGGTTTGTCTGATCCAGACTCATTTACAATCACCTGTCGCTTGGCTTGAATATTACTGTATGGGGATGTTAGGCAACAAACTAACAAGTGGTCCATGGAGGATTTGTTTAGATGTTGTGTATCTCATCAGTTGCTGATTAGTGACTGTGTTTCTTACATTCCAGGGTAGAGTAGTGGAGCCTTTAAAAGATTTTCACAAAGACGAGGTCCGAAAGATTGGTCGAGACCTTGGGTTGCCGGAGGAACTGGTCAACAGACATCCGTTTCCTGGTGAGTCACCCTGCCATACATGTCAACACTCCTGCATATCATTGTACACTTGCACTTATTGTTACCCGCCGCAACGCGGAACGTGGGACTATGTATTCAGCGCCGTCCGTCCGTACATACGTCCCGATTCTTGTTAACACGATATCTCATGCACTGATGTATCCAATATCTTCAAATTTGGTGACAGCCTACATTGGGGGTTACGCAGACACCAGTTGATTTGGGTGACCTTGACCTTATCTTCAAGGTCGCCACGACACTTTGACTACTTTTCAACTCTTGTTAATGCGAAATCTCATGGACTGTTGTACCCAATGTCTTCAAATTTGGTGACCACCTTACATTGGGGGGATTATTCAGACACCAGTTGATTTGGGTGACCTTGACCTTCCAGGTCACCAAGACACTTTGACCACTTTTCAAACTTATGTAAACGTGATATCTCATAAAACATTGCAACCAATGTTTTCAATTATGTTGACAGTCTACATTGGGTGATTATGCAGACACTAGTCATTTCAGGCATCTTGTATGTGACCAAAAATAAAAAGTATTAAATATGTTATAAATATTCCGTTCTTTAGCAGCGGGGGACATTGCCATATCAGTGGCAAACACTTCTTTCAAGTGCAGTTTTAGTAGATTGCTATTATGCCACACCATATGCATGACATGTATTGAAATGTCATTTCCATTTCGGGCGTCCCTACCATGATATTGCTTGAGTCGTTCTAAACACAGTGTAAAACAGATCCTCTTTGTGGTGTTCCAGGTCCAGGGCTGGCTATCCGAGTGATATGTGCGGATGAGCCCTACATGGAGAAAGACTTCGCTGAAACCAATATCCTGCTGAAGATCATCGTGGACTTTGCCACTGCACTAAAGACAGTGAGTGATATATACTGCATCCTGTGCATGTTGTGTGAGACTGTTAATAGAATAGAGTGGAAAAGTTACAAAATATCAAACACTGGCTCGTCTCTTCTTAACATTGACTGCCTATCACGAGTATATTCTAGTATCAATGTCTGGCCGAGTTTGCCACTATGAGTTATCTCGTAGCTATATCAGTGGTATTTTAAAACAAGTTTCACATGTTGGCAAAAAAGGCACAAACAACAAACGTCTCCTGGCGTTCTTTGTTACCGCCAGGAGACAATTGCTTCTTGTGCTGTTTTGCCAACATGTGAAACTTGTTATACAATACCACTGATATAGCTACGAGATAACTTGTAGTGGCAAATTCGGCCAGACATTGATACTATGAGTATACTTGGGTGGCAGTCAACTTGTTAAGTCGGTTACTTATTCTATGACGGTGGGGCTGTGAGGTAGCCTAGTGGTAAAAGTGTCCGCACTTCACGCGTAAGACCCGGGTTTGATTTCCCCACATGGGTACAATGTGTGAAGTACACTTCTGGTGTCCTCCACCATGATATTGCTGGAATATTGCCAAAAGCGGCGTAAAACCATACTCCCTCACTCTGAGATTGTTAGATGATTACTTTGTGCAGTGTTTGATGACTAGTGAAACTATGATGTTGTTGTGTGTGCAGCCCCACTCCCTCCTGAACAAGGTAAAGACCTGCATGGTGCAACAAGAGCAGGATCGGCTCGAGGAGATCACGTCCAAGTTCCAGCTGACAGCCACACTCTTGCCAATCAAGACCGTCGGAGTACAGGTAACATCACATCACCTTGTCAGTATTAGGGTTAGAATAGGTCCTCTGTCAGTACTTGTTTATTTGGAGTACAGGTAACGCCATATTACCTTGGTAGGACCAGGGTTAGAATAGGTCCTCTGTCAGTACTTGTTTGTTTGGAGTACAGGTAACGCCATATTACCTTAGTAGGACCAGGGTTAGAATAGGTCCTCTGTCAGTACTTGTTTGTTTGGAGTACAGGTAACGCCATATTACCTTGGTAGGACCAGGGTTAGAATAGGTCCTCTGTCAGTACTTGTTTGTTTGGAGTACAGGTAACGCCATATTACCTCGGTAGGACCAGGGTTAGAATAGGTCCTCTGTCAGTACTTGTTTGTTTGGAGTACAGGTAACGCCATATTACCTTAGTAGGACCAGGGTTAGAATAGATCCTCTGTCAGTACTTGTTTGTTTGGAGTACAGGTAACTTAGTACAGGTATATTACCTTAGTAGGACCAGGGTTAGAATAGGTCCTCTGTCAGTACTTGTTTGTTTGGAGTACAGGTAGCGCCATATTACCTCGGTAGGACCAGGGTTAGAATAGGTCCTCTGTCAGTACTTGTTTGTTTGGAGTACAGGTAACATACCATATTACCTTAGTAGGACCAGGGTTATAATAGGTCCTCTGTCAGTACTTGTTTGTTTGGGAGTACAGGTAGCAGCCATATTACCTTAGTAGGACCAGGGTTATAATAGGTCCTCTGTCAGTACTTGTTTGTTTGGAGTACAGGTAACTTATTACATATTACCTTAGGAGGACCAGGGTTAGAATAGGTCCTCTGTCAGTACTTGTTTGTTTGGAGTACAGGTAACGCCATATTACCTTGGTAGGACCAGGGTTAGAATAGGTCCTCTGTCAGTACTTGTTTGTTTGGAGTACAGGTAACGCCATATTACCTTCGGTAGGACCAGGGTTAGAATAGGTCCTCTGTCAGTACTTGTTTGTTTGGAGTACAGGTAACGCCATATTACCTTAGCAGGACCAGGGTTATAATAGGTCCTCTGTCAGTACTTGTTTGTTTGGAGTACAGGTAACGCCATATTACCTTAGTAGGACCAGGGTTAGAATAGGTCCTCTGTCAGTACTTGTTTGTTTGGAGTACAGGTAACGCCATATTACCTTGGTAGGACCAGGGTTAGAATAGGTCCTCTGTCAGTACTTGTTTGTTTGGAGTACAGGTAACGCCATATTACCTTGGTAGGACCAGGGTTAGAATAGATCCTCTGTCAGTACTTGTTTGTTTGGAGTACAGGTAACGCCTCTGTCAGTACTTTAGGGACATGCTATACTCGTCATGAACACATTTCAGTCAGTGAGATGTTTGTCTTCTCATGAATACATTTTGTGCAGGGAGACAGTCGGACCTACAGCTACGTGGCAGCCATTTCTTCAGACTCGCAGCCAGAGTGGGCGGACTTAATGAGCCTTGCCAAGATGATACCACGAATCTGCCACAGTATTAATAGGTGAGCTCTGCTAAGATGACACCACGAATCTGCCACAGTATTAATAGGTGAGCTCTGCTAAGATGACACCACGAATCTGCCACAGTATTAATAGGTGAGCTCTGCCAAGATGATACCACGAATCTGCCACAGTATTAATAGATGAGCTCTGCTAAAATGACACCACGAATCTGCCACAGTATTAATAGGTGAGCTTTGCTAAGATGACAACACGAATCTGCCACAGTATTAATAGATGAGCTCTGCTAAGATGACACCACTTTGCTAATGACTGAATCTGCCACAGTATTAATAGGTGAGCTTTGCTAAGATGACACCACGAATCTGCCACAGTATTAATAGGTGAGCTTTGCTAAGATGACACCACGAATCTGCCACAGTATTAATAGGTGAGCTTTGCTAAGATGACACCACGAATCTGCCACAGTATTAATAGATGAGCTCTGCTAAGACCCATGAATCTGCCACAGGCTGAACAGATGAGCCAAGCTAGAACGGGGCCCCAAATGTGTCTCCGTACTGCCTAGAGGGTAACACAAATCTGCCTACTTATCAGTAGCTGAACCTAGCTGACAACTGAGCACATTTTCTGTAACACTTCTGTGACAAAAATACCAATTCAGAGATTATTTTCATAGGAAGTGATTGGGACACTGGTTGCTATATGTTGCAAACACTGCAAAACCAATGCAATAATCATGTTCTGACTTGTAAGAAGTTGCCAAGCTACTCTGTAACACTCTAAAGTGGCCTTCATACAACAAACTTAAGTTTGACAACGCATGTTCTTAAACTTTTAAAAGTCGTCAAACTCGCGTTTTCACATGTCAAACACATGTTGTCGATAAATAGGATCGGTCTCTATTATCACCAACTTTTCCATCAAACTTTCGGTGTTGTCAAATTGAGTTTGATGACGTGTGAAATGTTGTCAAACTCATGTTGTTCAGAAACGACCAATCGCAGTCAACGAAATTGTCACATGGCCGCACAGATAAAGATATGGCGCTCAAATGACATGGCACTCAAATGACACGAAAGTTTGACAACATGTGTTTGACATGTGAAAACGCGAGTTGGTGTTGGTGGCGAATTGTTGGAATGTTCACACTCTCAAACTTGAGTTTGACAACATGTATTGTCAAACTTTAGTTTGCCACGTGAAGGCCGCTTAAGACCTACCCCTGTGGTGGAGTTGATTGGTTGTCAGGAGAGAGAGAGGTTGATGGTTCTATCCCAGACGCATCATACCAAAACATGTTACAAGGTGGGACTTATTATTACCCTGCCTGGCTTGTTTTATTATAGGGAGAAAAATAGGAATAACGAAACTGATTCAGTTTGCTGTGTCTGTGAGGTGTACCCAGTTCCACGCTAGGGCAAGGTGTCACAGGTTCCAACATTTTATGAAGCCGGCATAAGTCCATACACACACGCATTTCGAACACATTTTTCGGGTCTCCTCACCCCAATGACTGAATGAGATTTATCAATGCCCTGAATCCTTATGTGGACTTCCTACATTTCAGAGTTGTGTATGCCTTTGGTGAGTCCATCAAACACCCTATTGAAGATGTCACGCCAACATTTTTGACCGAGGGTGTTTTGAGCACATTACGGCAAGTAGATCACCTAGCAACCAAGACTCTACACGACGCCGGGGAGACCGGGGCTATCAGCCAGATGCCAGTTATTATCGCCCCGCTACACTTCGACAGGGACCTGACCTCCCACCACCCCTCCTGCCAGCGATCGGTTGTCATACGGACATTTATTACAAACGATTTTATGACAGGCATCCCAGCAACACCTGGAAAACAGCTGTCAACAAAGGTGATGGTCCTTTGAGTGATTATTCCATTCACAAATGTATGGACAGCTTGCTTGCATCAAACTAAAGTGAAGTCGACTAGCTGTTCCATGTTGAGGGTCTGTTGGTACTGGGCGAAGAATTAATAGAAGTCGCTGGAATGTAGTATACAGAATTACACCCATTGGGTCTAATATATATATACAGTACTGCAGAGAATAATGCACTGAAGCGCTATCTGTTAAGATAGATTCTGTGTAATGCAGAGTTATGTCCCTTGAGCACACAGGATACCTTTTAGTTTGGGTTTAAATACCATTTTGTCCTAATTATGTTTGTAGGTTTATGAGCAGCATGTTGGTGCTCATAGGTTTCAGCAGATTTGTTGAAGTGGAGACCTGTGTCAATTGAGGGTTTCCTAGGTAGTAGGCTGACACCATGATATAACTTAGAATAAGGTGAAAAGCCGCATGAAACCAAAGTCAGTCATTCGCTCACTCGCTTGTATATAAACTTGTTGATCACACGATTTCCTGTCATTCACTGCTCGGTGTAACTGATCTGCTCACCTTCACTGTTTTCTCCCCAGGTTGTGGAGGATATGGTGACGTCTATACTCACAGTGCCAGGGATCTCCCGCGTCCTGTACGACCTGACACCCAAACCACCGGGGACCACAGAGTGGGAGTGATCAGCTGATATGTGGCCATTATTTATTATGGACATGCTGTCTGTATTTCATGTTTTGTTACAACAGCCCTAGGACTTTGGGATTATTGTAGCCCGGACAATTGTTTTCCACAGTCGGCAAGGTTGTGATTGCTGATATGCTGTCGGAGAGATACAGCAGGCAAGGGTACTTCTTGAAGGGCGATAACAATGAGCAAACTGGTGATCACATTGACAGAGTCTCTTTTGTTGCCTCAGCAATTAGTGTTCTTCAGCTTTTGAAAGGGGGATTGAAATGTCTACAGTGAATGGCGATAATGTTTATTCTCCTTGTGAGACACTGAAAGACCTGGGTGTACTCCATCTGTGTACATGGTGTGCTATGTTGTCAATATTTTGCAGGTTTGTATGTACAATGTTCCTCTGTGACAGATGAAGACACATGTTTGGTTTGCTCTGTGGTTGTTCATTACCATCAAACAGCAGCGTATTCAAGCAAGTACTGCTACCAGTCAGTGCCTATGAGCACAGCTTCTATTGCACTAATGATTGGACCCCACACATTACTGCAGTGTCAGGCCTGGGAGTCGACACAAACTTCATGCTCCAAGTTAGGCTCATTTATCTTCCTCGAGTTTTAAAAGGCCTCATTTCACTGACTATAAAATTAGACACATATCACCTTTTTCACGACATATCAGCCCCATGTATTTACAGGTGATGGAGGAACTTGTGTATGTACAAACATAAGCATGGACAATGTATGACACTGGGCTTGAATCCTTGCTCTTCTGTATTACAATCAGCGCTTGGTCTCCATATATGAATCTTTGCTTGTGAGTAGTGTTACGTGTTGATTCCTGAGGCAAAACTAAATATTTAACTGGGAATCTGTCCATAAAAGAGCTAAGCAATGTGATATAATTAAGAGTTATATTATGAAATTAATTTAGTTCATGAATCACTACAAATCACAAAACAGGTATCACTATGGCAGTTTTAAGTCAATCTGATAAACTGCAAGAGCTGTTATTATAGCATTGAAGACAGTGGTGGTAATAGTCATCGCTCGGCTAAGGAACTCGGCTTAGGCGGGGTGTTTATGATCATCACAAACAATGCGGGTTGTCAGGTGACATGAGATGTTATGTGAGATGAGAGGCAAGAGTTAACTCCCTTTATATACTGAGAAAATACAAGAAAAGTCCAGAATACTCTTAAAAGGCTGATGATTCTGGAATAAGTTCCTTTTAGCACTTTCCAGATAATTCTGTCTAATTCGAGTACAAGTCTTAATATAGCATGCCACTGCCCACCACTGGCCCTTACTGAATGTACAATGTAGTTAAAACATTGTAGTACAACATCGAACACTGCCTCATAACAGTAGAAATGTTTAGATGAATGATTGACAGAGTGCATGCCAAGCATTATCATTTGCTGAACTTCCGAAATATTTGTGACAAGTGTCACAAATTAGAAAAGTATCACAAGGATTTGTTTTTTGTCGATAAATATATTTAATAATGAATTGGGATTAAGTCTTCCTTTTCACCACATCTTGTCTTGAAAGATTTGCTGGAGGATTGTGTTACTTGATTCGACAAATGATGGTGTGGAAGCACATGTTAGTTGTACATGGGTATAATATTTATTAAAACATTATGGAATCTGACCTCCAGTGTGTGCCATCTGTGGTCTTGTACGTGAAGAAGTATTATGGTAGACAGTAGTCCATCGAGGCAGGAAAGTGTCATGGAAGCAAGATATAATGAGGTCTATGAAGCGTGCATGTTTTGTTCCAGCAATTAAGGGAAGTAACTCTGTTTGCTCTGTTACCATCCTCCTCCGTATCAAAAGCTGGACATTTTCAAGATATTTGTTACTGAAACAAGACTGTATTAAGCCTTTCCTTTTGCAATGTTTTAAAGAGCTGTTTTGATTTTCCTGACTGAATAGTCACTCTATGCACATGTGTGCATTTATTTCAGGTTCATATAATTTTGAAATGCCATACTGACGTGTGTGATAATCACACGTTAGACTTTTTGTATCAAACTGATAACTGCAGACTGAAGGGGGTGGGGAAGGGGGGTTGTGTGGAGGAGTATTGGTAGTAGGCATGTGTATAAATTGATGATGTTATCATGATACTAGGTTGCTGAAGACAAATTCACTTTTCTTTTTATTACATCTTTTTAACTGTTTGATATTTTAAGAAAATATTTCAATAATTTTAATTCTTTTTCTTTTTCGCCATTTTGCAATGACAGTTTGTTCACCAGGTGAGAAGGGAATGTGTTCCTGGCCAATAGCTGAATGTTTAGTGCTGAGGATTGAGTGCTGACTATATATGTGATTGTCCATGAGCGGAGGAACATGGTTTTAGTCTTTGTTTAGTAGTGACGTTTGGCTGACACAAGTAGAACTTTTTAAAACTAAAATGGTGAAATGAATGAGTACATTTATACTTCTTAAGCTATCAATGTATTAAAATAAGTTTTTCTGTCCTGTAAGCTCCCTGATCATGAAGTATGGGCAAGGACTTCTTCAGCAGGAGTCATGTAAACTTTTGATTGCCAACGCTACCAGAGCGGAGGCTATGTAATGAGGGTTATCTCAAGTCCATGTGGAGATATATGGAGTTTATTGCTGAATTTCTGTGAAACTCCAAAGTTTGTAATTTACTTATAATTCATTTCACTTCTGATTCCATTTTACAAACTTATGTAAGTACTGGATAATAACATTGTGTTGATGCTAAATGGGTTATTTTCTGTGAATATTTGTAAATAAAGAGATTTATTTTGACATCATCCTGTACATCATGTATATAGTGTTCTCGGTCCACTTGAAAGTTGGACATTTCTTGTATAGTGCCATGGGAGTATTGACAAATCACACCACACTGTTAATGAAATGTAAATGGTCTTAAGGAGAATAGCACGACTGAGAAAATAGGACGGAAACAAGGCAACAATCCTGGACAGTATTGTGTTTATCAGATGTGTAGCAGAGGAGGACAGCTCAGAGTACAGAGTACAATAAGGGCTTTTCTCCCTTCATCTAGAATTCTTTCAGCTCAATGTTGATAATAATATATTAATAATATTATTAAACTAATACCATGGGTCCTCTTTCTATCTTGCAGCACAAAGGAACTGTCTGTGTCAGATACTTGTAGAGTTCTATTCAGGGTCCCGAGGCCAGGCCAGCTCAAAGTAATTTTAGAGCTAAGGCTTACAATTATCGTAGCTCAAAGAGGGCTTGGTGTAACAAGGCTCAGAATAAAATCCCTGCGTACATGCAGCTTGAGTGGATTGTGTATCTGTAGGAGTATATCGTCTGAACATACTTGTTTAATGCTTCCAAAATGACTCACATTTTGGCAACTTCCTTGCTGTGCTTGAAGTATACATAACTGGAGCCCCAGCCGGGGCGGTGGGGTAGCCTAGTGGTTAAAGCGTTGGCTCGTCACGCCGAAGACCCGGGTTCGAATCCCCGCATGGGCACAATGTGTGAAGCCCATTTCTGGTGTCCCCCGGCGTGATGTTGCTGGAATATTGCTAAAAGCGGCGTAAAACTAAACTCAGTCAGTCCTCTCATACACCAGTAAGTGTGATGTTTCGGCAGAATTGTCTCACATTTGCTGCAGTCATATGCCCCCTGTTAACTTGTCCTATATGCAGCGTACACTTTAATGAAATCTCTTTTTTAGACCGTAGACTTTATTTGTTTCTCGTTTCCAAAATGTTCAGAGGTTGAAGAAAAGGCAAGAAAATATACTGAGGAACAAAAATAAGGGATCACATGAAAGGAGAAGTGTTCCTTTATTTTTTTTCCAAGGTTTCTTCAAAAGCTCTGTATTGCATAGCTTGTGAAGAAACCTGGAAAAAAATAAAGGAACACTTGTGCTTTCATGTCATCCCTTATTTACTTCTATCGAGGTTGATTTGAGGATATATTGTTTGAAAGCAATTATAAATTATTTGAGACAAAGATATTTGAATATTTGTATTTGTAATTGTGTCGATTAGTGTTGCAGAAGTGGAATTGCTTTTGAAGTTAAATGTCACTCCTGTCATAACCTGCTGCAAATCAGTTTGAAACATCTGGGTTCAAACCCAGATCTAATCTAACACTGGCTCTACACTACTTGACCACCCAACCTCAGGAGATGGAATAAGGGTGATGGTTTACTATACATTCACAGTAGTAGCATGCAGTTTCTAAACTGTGCTGAGCAAGCAGAAAGTAGTTTTAGCTTTCCTTGTTTTAGTGAAATGTTTGACTGCACATTTCAAAACAATATTGCCCACAAGCTGGAAGAAGTAAGGTAAAGGAAGTGTTTAAACAAAACTAAGTAACTCTTGATAATCAAAATGGATCTTTCACTCAGTAGTTGGTAAAGAAAATTATGAATTGTATATACCCCAGGTAGTAGATATGTTGTCCATATTTCGATATGAAGTTGTCTTTTCTAAGAGCTTATCCCAATCTTCTGACAAAATTGTACTGTTTATTTTTCAAAGGGATAAACTTGAAATACAGAGAGAAAAAAGGATTTTCTTAAGTTTTGCAACTGTCCCTTTCTTGAACTGTTCAGTGGCTTCTTTCGCATCATATATTATATTTACACCAATCTTGAGAAACAGACAGTGCTCTGGCAACTGTGTTGGCAGATTTTTCTTATTTATCTGAAATCCATGCAAGAAGTATATATATTTCTAAAGGATACTTCAAGTTTGGGTTTTGTGGAAATAAAGAGGTGCTCAATTGTTCTCCTGGTATCAAATTCTCTCGTCAATGTTCATGCTGAATGAGGAGGCATGTATCTATTCCTTGACTTCAGTCATTTGTTTGTAACCCATATTTCTAGTAGATTACTAGGTACTTGACTGCCATGGTGTAAGTATGTAAATAAAATATTTTTGTATTGGGAATGAAGTGTAACTTTTAACTATATCAGCTACTCAAAACATGTTGAAGAACACCCACTATTGGAAGGCTTTCTGTTGCAATACCTACCAACCATGGCAGATTAACATTTGTAAAATGAGGTGTTCTTGAACTGCTTCTGAATGGTTTACAGTACCTTCCTTGTAATGTTTTATTTGTGTAATTTCAAGCTTGTCATGGGAAAAGAAATGATGTGTGATTTTTTTGGTGATTGAATTGAAATAAATGCAGCGGTGATATTTCAACATTTTGTCTTTTGTAATAATTCACCAGAAATGGATTCACATTTTGCAAATACTTGAACTCCCAGGCTACAAAGACTGCATGGTATTACCAGTATATGACAATACGCCTTTCAGACGATACATATTGCAATGTCTTTTCTTAGACCGGTATATTGGGTAATACAAATATATGATGTTTTGTGATTATTTCTTTGGTTGAAGGTAAAATCTACACACTTTCATTGACACTGAAGTTTTCCATTGTAATTAATTGACAAAGCAGCATGCTTTACTTATAAAAAATATATTTAAAAAAGAAAATCCGTCAAAATGAAATCTAACGTGATTTCTGTTATTAAAACCATAACATATATTTTTAGGGCTTTAGAATGTAGAAAATATGCTCTGTATGTACAATCCATATCACTGATTGTCAAAAACTGAAATTCCCAAAATATCGCAATACGAATCTGAATACAGGTACCAGACTCGCAATATACTGCTATACAATTTACTTGCCAATACACAGCCCCACACACTACCCTACTGCGCCGTGAGCATAAGTAGTTAGTTCTGAAGATTGTTAATCACAAAACGTAAGTCAATGCAGGATGTTCCATGATGTTTAATGACATGAAAATTACAGCAACATTCTGCTGTATCTGAATTACTTGGCCTAGTGCTCAGTACCTGCTGGTTAACTCAGAGGTTCAGAAGTAACAGGATCTTTGCTGTTACCATTGAGCAAGGGAGCACCATTTTATAGTCTGAGGAGGGTATTTTTTAGCCAGGTGTCATTAGAAACAGATTTATGTTCTCTGCGAGGTAGAGGGTTTTCAAAACATCGAGAACGTTCAGTGAACGTTTCTTGTGTTAATACATGATAAGTCATTTTTTGAGTCATTATCTTTCAAATAAAAATCCTCTCCCAAGGATATCAAACGGTGAAGCCCTTGGTGGATATGGTGTCATAAAGGTATGAATCTGACAATGCACTACCTAACATTGAAGAAGAGATTAATTCCAAACCTCAACAAAATTCGACAAACAATAGCTCTGTTCATCATGTCTTCCAAAGCTGAGTGGAAGGATTAAGAAATGAAGGACGTGTCAAATTTATCAAGTATCCAGTCTTTTGAGATACATACTCTAGGCCCCACAACATGATATTAGCACTTTGACAATTGTAAGCCTACTATCCTGTTAAGGGAGTTGCTGAGTGTGGCGTAAAACTAAACTCACTCACTCACTCACTTAAGGGACTGACTGAGTTTGGCTTTACGCCGCTTTTAGCAATATTCCAGCAACATCACGGCAGGGGACACCAGAAATTGGCTTCACACGTTGTACCCATGTGGGGATTTGAACCCGGGTCTTAGGCGTGACGAGCCAATGCTTTAACCACTAGACTACCCCACTGCCCCTCACTTAAGGGAGACAGTATGCCCGAATGTTAGCTATTGGAAGGGGCTACTTTGGACTGCGGTCTTATATCAAACCAGTGTCACAAACACATTTCGTAATGTACAAAATTTATGTTTATTTCCACACCAACATGTTGAGTGATCTATAATAAATAATGGTGATATGGTAAACAAATACAAAATAATGTCAAGCTGTACATAGTGTGATGAGATACACCAGGATGTGGTAAGAACAAGTATCACATTACACATGGCTATTTCATTAATGCTGTAAATCATCACATAAAAAGTTACACAAATAAAAAATGTTAACAAACTGACGCAGCTGCAGATAGGTTACTTTTCTACTAAGAATTAATTAGGGCGATATTTTCCTGTACATGTATGACAAACAGCCTGGACACGTACAATTTCAGCCACCAAGAGCTGTCAATCAAACAAGTTGTTTGTGATAAGTACATGTAGCTGTGTCATGACTGACACACTCAACCTCAGACCGTGGCAATTACAACAGTACTTGCCCTGATATGGAGCATCAACTGTGTCACATGTAATTGTTGCAAAGTAAAGCTTTCCACTTTAAAGCATGGTAAGGCCAGACCAATTTTATTTCTTGTTTTACGGATTTTGGTCCTCAGAAAACCTAAATGCATGAGGGAAAAAAAATGAAAATAAAATCACCAGTCAAACTAATATTCCTTCTAAATATTCAAAGTATGTTACTTTAGGCAAGTTATGAAGTGTATGTGGGGCAAAAACAATCTAAAAACATGTTTACATTTTTGGCCAATAAAAACAAGGATTTTATTTTTTATGAGCGGGGAAAATTAACTTCTTTTTTTTCTTCTTATTCTTGAAAAATATGACAGGCGGATCCATAAAACAAGAAATAAAATTGGTCTAGCCTAATCTAACAAAACAACAGTATCATTTCTTGATACATGAACAAAACAAAATGAAAGATATTCAAAAGTCTACACAATGTAACAGTAATCTAGGAGTGGAGTAAGCAAATAACTATCTAAAAACACAACAAACAAGTTCAACTGTCCCGAGAGTACAAGCCATGTCTTCTGCTGTGGAATGGTAATCAATATGAAACAGTATCGGTACAAAGGACAATTTTCCAAGGATATGGATATATTTCAAGGTGAAGAGTAAAATCTGTCTCTTGTGTTTTCAGCTGAAACAAACAGCATCGTCGACACCAAGGACACAGTTCAACACTTAGCCCTAGATTTCACTGCAGAGAACGTAGAATATGTTAGATCTAGGTCCACATTTAGCCCTGGATCCCACTGCAGAGAACCTAAGGACAACATGTTGGACCTAGGTCCACATTTAGCCCTGGGTCCCATTGCAGAGAACCTAAAGACAACATGTTGGACCTAGGTCCACATTTAGTCCGGATCCCATTGCAGGGAACCTAAAGACAACATGTTGGACCTAGGTCCACATTTAGTCCTGGATCGCACTGCCGACAACCTAAGGACAACATGTTGGACCTAGGTCCACATTTAACCCTGGATCGCACTGCAGAGAACCTAAGGACAACATGTTGGACCTAGGTCCACATTTAGCCCGGATCGCACTGCCGAGAACCTAAAGACAACATGTTGGACCTAGGTCCACATTTAGCCCTGGATCCTATTGCAGAGAACCTAAGGGCAACATGTTGGACCTAGGTCCACATTTAGCCCTGGATCGCACTGCAGAGAACCTAAGGACAACATGTTTGACCTAGGTCCACATTTAGCCCTGGATCACACTGTAGAGAACCTAAGGACAACATGTTAGACCTAGGTCCACATTTAGCCCTGGATCGCACTGCCGACAACCTAAGGACAACATGTTAGACCTAGGTCCACATTTAGCCCTGGATCGCGTTGCCGAGAACCTAAGGACAACATGTTGGACCTAGGTCCACATTTAGCCCTGGATCGCACTGCCGACAACCTAAGGACAACATGTTGGACCTAGGTCCACATTTAGCCCTGGATCGCACTGCCGAGAACCTAAGGACATGTTAGACCTAGGTCCACATTTAGCCCTGGATCGCACTGCAGAGAACCTAAAGACAACATGTTGGACCTAGGTCCACATTTAGCCCTGGATCGCACTGCCGAGAACCTAAGGACAATATGTTAGACCTAGGTCCACATTTAGCCCTGGATCGCACTGCCGACAACCTAAGGACAACATGTTGGACCTAGGTCCACATTTAACCCTGGATCGCACTGCAGGGAACCTAAGGACAACATGTTGGACCCTGTCCCGTACTGACCCCTTAATTAACCAAGCCACAAACTGTGTCAGATCTATTAGGTTCCCATCTTTAACCTTATAAATGTGAAATCAACAGGTAGAAATCTCCATGTAGTTATGACTACTTTCCTATTGTGAAGAAATAACTCAAGCTTATCCCATAACACTTAATATTTAAAAACCAAAAACACATGAATTTATTTATACATAGATTTAGATATAAAATTGATCATAAAGATATTTGAACAATATAACTCATCTTCAAACAGTTGTATCTATTGTCAACATATTCAATTTACTTAATTGCAAATTCAAAGCACATTTGATCACCTGGACAAAGAATTCACTAATTGCAGCTGATCATCATCGTGCAAGGGTTGCGTCTATCTGCTGAATCCACGGTAATGCCAGTTTGATCTTTCGCCGGTAGTTGACGTCCACCTTCTTGTTGTCAGATGGATCATACCAGATAGGGTTCCTCTCCAGGTAGACAGTCTCCAGGTTCTTGAGGGGAATGAGAGCGTCCACATCCTCCCAGCTCGACACCTGGTTGTCATTGAACTGAAATGAACATCAACACAAACCGTTACATAATTGAAGTACATACATCATCACCATTAAACTGATATACATAGGACACTGTCACTCAAGTGATATACACTGAATTACAAATTTACACACTGTTACCACCAGATTTATGCACACTTTCATAGTTGAAATCTACATGTATATAATTGTCCTGAAATATAGACATGTTATGTACATATATCCTGTTGGATCATTGATGGTGTTGACCAGGAGTCCAGTCAGTATATTTCAGTAGTGTCTTATTCAGGCCTACCAAAGAAAACTTTCCCACTGTGCAGAAAACGCAGGAAAGCCCACATTAATGTGGAAATAGCAACATAAACTTATTACTTCCATGCATAAAGCGAGGAGATATGGAAGAGGACTTTTCCAGCTTGGAGGGTAAATAAGACATTAGGTATGAAGCGATTGACAGCTATATTACCCAAAATTCACGGTTGCTCAGAATTTGGAAAGATGCCGGATAAACTCATGACAGAAATAGTAGAGGTCAAAGTTAAGTTCTGTAAGATGTGCAATATTTTCAATCTTCTTAATTTTATTTTCTGCAAGATCCAGAGTTGTCAACCTCAGCTGAAACACATGCAAAATGATATCATTAATCTGGCAAAATTATTATTACTTTCATGCACATACACTAGGGGTAAATAAGAAATATTCTTGAAGATTGTGAGCAATATTTTTCAATCTTCCACAGCAGGGCAGTGTGCTTCTCACCATGCTGACAGGGACCACAGCAATGTGCTTCTCATCATGCTCTGACTGACTTGCCCACTCCTGAACTCATTAAACATATGGCCATCCAATGCATGACCACAGGGGTCCCATGCTTCCACTGATGTTACTGCACAGAATGAGAAGTGAGTGAGTGAGTGAGTTTAGTTTTACACTGCACTCAGCAATATTCCAGCTATTTGGCGGCGGTCTGTAAATAATCGAGTCTGGACCAGACAATCCAGTGATCAACAGCATGAGCATCGATCTGAGCAATTGGGAACAGATGACATGTGTCAACCACTCACTGACTGAGTGAGTTTGGTTTTACCCGATCTTTTAGCAATATTCCAGCTTATGACAAGCATGGGTTACACATGAAGATCGATATTCTAACCAATGGACCTTCACCATTAGTGTGCTCAGAAGTCTCAAGCCAATGCTAGATGAAGTTTCAAGAACCATCAACTACTGACAGTTTTATGAGTTTTCATAAATGGATTTATTCAATCAGCCACATTTTGGTGCATCCCAAATGACTTGTTATGGAAACTTCTTGTCCCCGATCAAACATGTAAGTGTAAAGCTAGCAACATTTCAGGTCCTGTAAAGCCCTGTACTCACATTCTTGTCGAGTCCCTGGATCTTCTCGATGCCGTTGTGGCTAATGTAGAGCTCCTCCAGGTTGACCAGACACTCCAGGCCTTGTATCGTAACTAGACGGTTGTCCTGGCAGAACAAGGCAGGCAATGGTCAGTCAACAAGGAAGGCATTGAGTGAGTTAACAAGGGAAGGAATGAGTCAAGGCAGGCAAAGAGTCAACAAGGCAATCAACATATCAGTTAACAAGGCACGCAATGAGTCAACAAGGCAATCAACATATCAGTTAACAAGGCAGGCAATGAGTCAACAAGGCAATCAGTCAACAAGGGAAACAATGAGTAAGGCTAAGAGTCAGTCAACAACAGGCAATGAGTCAAACAATGAGTCAGTCAACAAGGCAGACAATGAGTCAAGCAACAACTCAGTGAACGAGGCAGACAATCAAACAATGAGTACAACACCGCAGACAATGAGTCAGTCAACAAGGCAGACAATGAGTGAAACAATGAGTCAGTCAACAAGGCAGACAATGAGTCAGTCAACAAATCAGTCAACGAGGCAGACAATCAAACAATGAGTACAATACAAACAGACAATGAGTCAACAACTCAGTCAGGAAGGCAGACAATGAGTGAAACAATGAGTCAGTCAACAAGGCAGGCAGACAATGGAGGTGAAACAATGAGTCAGGAAGGCAGACAATGAGTCAGTCAATCAGTCGAGGCAGTCAACGAGGCAGACAATCAAACAATGAGTACAACACCGCAGACAATGAGTCAGTCAACAAGGCAGACAATGAGTCAGTCAACAAGGCAGACAATGAGTCAAACAATGAGTCAGTCAACAAGGCAGAGAATGAGTCAGTCAACAACTCAGTCAACGAAGCAGACAATCAAACAATGAGTACAACACCGCAGACAATGAGTCAGTCAACAAGGCAGACAATGAGTCAGTCAACGAGGCAGACAATGAGTCAAACAATGAGTCAGTCAACAAGGCAGACAATGAGTCAAACAATGAGTCAGTCAACAAGGCAGACAATGAGTCAAGCAATGAGTCAGTCAACAACTCAGTCAACGAGGCAGACAATCAAACAATGAGTACAACACCGCAGACAATGAGTCAGTCAACAAGGCAGACAATGAGTCAATCAACAAGGCAGACAATGAGTCAAACAATGAGTCAGTCAACAAGGCAGACAATGAGTCAAACAATGAGTCAGTCAACAAGGCAGACAATGAGTCAGTCAACAACTCAGTCAACGAGGCAGACAATCAAACTGATTATCAATCAGTTATTAGATTTGTTTCACCATGTGACTACCAAACAGCCTGCCTCGATTATTGCCCTATTGTTCTTATTTTGTGAAGGAAAAATCAGATTCACTGCATATGTTGTTTGTATAGGCTGAAATACACCACAATTGTCATACCAAACATTTATACCTCACATCCCTTAATAGATGTTTTGAAGACATTATTTTAAAAAAAAATGCCTCCTTAAATTAAATAAAAGTGAACAATAGTGTTACCTGAATACTGAGACAGGTTAGATTGACCAGAGTGTCAAGCCCAGACAATGTGGTGAGTTTATTCTTCCCAAGGAACAGGCTCTTCAGTCCAGTCATCTGGTCAATGCCTTCTATATTCTGTAAAGGAAAATCAAACTGAAAGCACAAGACCACACACAAAACACTACATCCCTATCTCTTCAATATCATACGTGGCAGGCCCTTTTTCATTATCTGCTACCACCTAGCCTGACTTTCAGCAACCACCCTGATTCCATTACCACCTACCCTGATTCTGTTACCACCTACCCTGATTCTGTTACCACCTACCCTGATTCTGTCACACCTCTGTTACCACCTACCCTGATTCTGTCACCACCTTCTCTGATTCTGTCACCACCTACCCTTATTCTGTCACACCTACCCTGATTCTGTTACCATCTACCCTGATTCTGTTACCACCTACCCTGATTCTGTTACTACCTACCCTGATTCTGTTACCACCTACCCTTATTCTGTCACCACCCACCCTGATTCCATTACCATCTACCCTGATTCTGTCACCACCTACCCTGATTCCGTCACACCTACCCTGATTCTGTTACCACCTACCCTTATTCTGTCACCACCTACCCTGATTCCATTACCATCTACCCTTATTCTGTCACCACCTACCCTGATTCCATTACCATCTACCCTGATTCTGTCACCACCTACCCTGACGCTGTCACCACCTACCCTAATTCTGTCACCACCTACCCTGATTCTGTTTGCTCCAAGTTCCAACATCTCCACTTCGACAAGATGGTTGATATTTTCAACTTTCTGTATCTTGTTCTGAACCAGAAACAGTTTCCTCAATCTTGTAAGTTGTTCCAAACCTTCAATTTTCCTAATGTGGTTGAATGATAAGTCAAGTTGTCTGTAAAACAAAAGGGGTTCATCATTTAACTCGGCCTGGAGAAAAAATAAATACACTGGATGGAGCGTGCGTTTTGAATATACAATTACCAGACCATTGTTATTACAGAAATATTATAGCTCACATTCTTTATACAGTACAACCAGAAATTATTGGGAATTTAAGATTGTAATTTTTTCACTGCAAACAGACTATAGTGTAGTGGTGGAAGGTTGACTTACTCAAGGGTTACCAGTTCCTCCAGATTTTCAATCTTGGTCAGCTGGTTGTCATACAAATCAAGCTCACGTAGCGTCACCAAAGTGCTCAAACCCTCGATCTTCTTCACAAGGTTCTGGCGGAGACACAGGGTCTGAAACACATATTGTAATATGTCTAACAAGAATCCTTTAATATGTGACCAGACGATAAATTCCAACGCTGACCTTGCAATAGAAAAATGAACAAACCTCATACCTGACTGTAATATTATCACTACTGACCTATCACATGATCTATGTTGACTTGTTTACTAGAAAATAACACAGTGTCTGTGGATGGCAATACATTGCTTGTCAGTGTGTCTGAAAGACAATGTTGAAATGCTGGAAACATGTCATGCCTGGACCAGGCAAACCAGTGTCTTCAAACATTCACAGCAATCCATGGAAATTGGGCAAGATGACATTTAATCATCTGAGTCATGGACAACCACAACCCATTTAGCTCCTCGTACAACTATTGGAGTCTATTTTATATCCCCCTTCCTCAGTCTTGAGTCTAGAGCTGCTTCTCAAGCTGTCAGGAAATGTTATCAGGAGGTTTTCATTCTGGCAACATTTACCACCATGCTTGCACACTTACCTCACATCTTGTCAAATTTTCCAAGTTTTCTATCTTAGCAATACGACTGTGGTTCAGATCAACATCCTGCAACAAGAGGCGGGAGAAATTACAACTGGGTTGAACATAATGCTGAACAATATTCAGTTTTATCTCAGGTGGTGGAATTGGGTTTAACGTCGTGCTTGAGAATATTTCGCTCATATGACGACGTGCATGCGTGTGTATGTGTATGTGCGGCTGCTTGTACTAGCCCAGACTGAAGCTGGTTTTATAGTGCTAGCCCACTGAGATACCATGCCGCAGTGAAGCATGAATACCCCACTCAGACACATTATACTGACTCCGAGCCGACCAGTCCTTGTTGTACCCATTAATGCCGAGCGCCAGGCAGGGACCAACAAGTACCATATTTTAACGTCTTTTGGTATGACGCGGTTGGGGATCGAACCCACGACCTTCCGCACTCCAGGCAGACGCTCTAACCACTACACCATGGAGGCGGTCTTTTATCTCAGGGCTCCAGATAAGGGCCGTATTGGCGTATGTACAGATAAAAAATATACATGTTACGGTAGGAAATAATTTAGAAAACATAGCAGATACGCACCACAGCAATGGTGTATGATCTGAGAATCATTTACAGACATATTTATCTGATTGTATTGTTTTATTGTTTATTGACCTGTTTACACAAGTTTAGCAATGTTGTGGTGCATATATGAAACGAAACACAAGATGATTGATACTCCATTAATTTCCATTCAATACTCTAAATGTACTCCTACTTTTTTCCAGTACTCCTATATTGAAAAAGTAAGGAGTAAGTACTCCTGATGCTGAAAAGTTATCTGGAGCCCCGTATCTCATGGTGATACGATGTTTTATGTTTATATCATGAAACTCACAAGCCAAGTCATTATGCTGGCAAACCTAGAAATATGGTAAATGAGCGCAATACTTTAGTTGAAAGGGCCTTTTGTGAGTTGCCACCAGTAGCAATATAATCATCCCAACTATAGTCTGTTTGCGGTGAAAACGTACCAATGAATTTCACTTTAAACAAAAATTTAAAATCAAATAAAGTGAAATTAAGATTGCGAATCCTCATAATTTTACCTTGCCAATTGAACATTTAAATCTCAGAATTTTATTCAACATAGGATAAAAGTTGTTTAACATACGATCATAGATTTAAATCGCTATTATTGGTTTGTATTACAAGGGGGTACGCGCAGTAGTTGGAACAGTGAAACAAATGTACGTGCGGTACATGATGAGCGTTAACTTAACTTAGACTACCGTAGAAACCAACCCTTCTTGTTCTCGGAATTTCATTTAATGTGCATACCCCTTGAAATACATACCAGTAATAGCGATTTGAAACTAATGTTCAGTTGGCAAGGTAAAGTTATGAGGATTCGCAATCTTTATTTCACTTTATTTGATTTACTTCTTTGTTTAAAGTGAAATTCATCGGTACGCTTTCACTGCAAACAGACTATAATGTTGGGAATTGGTTGAAATCTCACAATTGATGACTGGTTCATTGCCAACGAGCAATCATCAAAAATAATTGGTTAGCGTGATTTTTCAGATTTTCCTGTTCAGGTTGTTATTGTAGATAAGTCTGAAGAAAAAACATGATGTTCTTTTTTTTTATAATTAGAAACTGTGCAAATTGTACTGGCAAATTTCACATCCAATGTAAAATGATGTAACTTGCTACTTTAAAGTGATGACTAATATATCATGAACATAAACTTCCCAGAGTCTTCGAGAAATATTCAGTCATGACGTTTCAGTAAGTGAAGTGCGTTTTCTAAGAATTAAACATGTTTTCAGGCCCTGACAATTTCTTAGAAATGTTCCATTGTCAAGTGTTTCAAACACTAAAACAGTAGTTCCCAAAGCGTTTGTGTTTGATCATGAGAAAATATGATGGCTTGGTCATTTGGTCACTACGACCTATCTTCAAATATTACAATTAATTGAAACACAACTAATCCCAAGAACTGATATGGTACCGAAGTTTTTGAAAGACATTCAGAATTTGGACGAACATGAATACATGTACATGAAAAGTATTTTTATGGATAACAAATTCTTATTCTTTATACAACGTTTCAGAGCTAATTCTTGTTCCTTCATCACAACATTCAACAGTTTCCAAAATATGTACTTACAAAGGCATCCTGATCAACAATGACCAGTTCTTGAGCATCTTCAATGGCCTGTTCTGGTTTAGGTTCTTCCTTTTCAAGTTCATCTTCGCTGGAAACTGTGGCTTCTGCTGCGGCCTGATTTTCAACCTCAGGTTTTGCTACCTCATCTTTGTTGTTGTCTGACATGACTGTTTATTGTTGTCGCTGAAATGAAAAACGTGAATACTCGTTTAGAAATGTAGATATTATTTTCAAAATATTTAGGGCATTATTACAGCTATTTCTGTTACAAATAATTTCTCAATAGTGGTATAATACTATGATAGATAAAATAAAATTAAATAAATAAAATTGTGTTGATTGTCAACATGAGATATCTTACTACATTATGTCCTGAAGTAAATAAACACAATTCATTGGCTTAGTTTGGGTTGGTAAGTGATCGTATTGAAGCAATGTTGTGTATTTGCGTCGCAATATTTTGCGTGATTATGACTGCTTATTTTATAATATATTTTTTTAATAAAGATATTATAAGGGGGTTTCATGAAACACTGTTTCACTGAATATTACGTCTGTGGAGAAAGATCTTTACTGTTTTGTTTTGTTTTGAGGGAAATGTCTGAAGACAGTCTCGAATGTGATGTTGATCTGTGTAAGTTTCACTGAGGAATGAAATATTGTGAAATGTATACTATAAATAGGAACTGACGATGAGCATGCGTCAAAGGCTATATTCCGCAACTTAGTCACCATAAAACGTCAAGACTAACTTTAGTTTACATCAAGCTCAGCTTCGCTCCGAATGCAAAATAGATTCTGATTGGATTGTATGTAAGGGAGGTAATTCAGCGTTGTCGATTAAACCCACTAATAAATTCTTTCTGCTCGATGGACAAACATCACTGTTATAACACATTTTAAAGAGTTTACCGTAAACATGTAATAAAATATACACAATAAAACACGAATTTCATGTGTAACAAATTGCACAGTGGAAACCCAGTTGAAGCAACCCTGAATTTCATACATTCACTTCACGAGTTGAGTTAATCAGGCCTGTGGGCCACTTGCTCATCACTAGTGGCAGTTTTTTAAGCCACTAGCTATCTGCCACATGTGGCCCGTAACGAGGTGTGTTATCGGGGTTGTGAGTTTAGTCGCATTCACTCACTTCATTTAGACAGAAAAGCGCTCTGTTGACTAAGGATACTGAGTTCACTTAGAAGTGTTTTCACATACGAACCCTGACTTTGTCAAGCCATGAATCTTAGTTCACTCTTATAAGTGTTACCTCAGTTTTATCATCCAATCATTTTGCAAATGAGAGTAAATAAAATGTAAATAATGAAAAAAAGAATCTGAGTTCACTATTTTAGGAAAGCATTTTTCTCGTATTGAGGTACAACACGATCTAAGACTGGCACTTCACGTACATGTATCTCAGCTTAATGTTTCACCCATGTTACACATCGTGATGTCCCCTTATCATGACATATGGCGCTGGTGGCTTTGTCTTTACACATATGTAATTTAAAGTATGAATACAGGTTTTCAGTGTAGTATAAGTGAGTGAGTATCGTTTTACGCCGCTTTTAGCAATATTCCAGCAATATCACGACAGGGGACACCAGAAATGGGCTTCACACATTGTACCCATGTGGAGAATCGAACCCGGGTCCTCGGCGTGACGAGCGAACGCTTTAACCACTAGGCTACCCCACCGCCCCGAGCGTAGTATAAAACTACACTGAAAACCTGTACGCTTATGTGTTTCACTCTACCTGCATACATATAGTCCTGTGACTGTTGGTTCTGAAATTTGAGGTTTTCATCCTTCACCAAATATACAAAATATTCATGACAAGTTCTGTAAGCAAATACTTCACCAATCTATTACAACTCCGAACATATGTGCACGTGGTGAAATAAGTCGCTATTCTTTGAAGGTTAATACTTACTACAACATTGTGAAATACTGGACCAGGTTAATAAGTCAAGATAAGAATATTATTTTGTTTAAAGTATATAAATATCAGTATCCTTTAGCTGCAATGAATCTTGATTGTTGGGCTTTGAGAGTTAAGAAACTTCTCTTCAGCTATGGTTTTGGAAATGTTTGGGTTGATCAACAAATTACAAATGTAAACAATTTCCTCATACAATTTAAGCAGAGGTGTATTGATATTGATCTTCAAACGTGGGCTCCAGATCTTGAAAATATACTAAACTAGATGTTTTCAGACGGATAAAAATGACTGTGTCAGAAGAATATTACATTAGTGCTGTAAATGTGAAGGTATATTGTATTGTCCTCTGTAGATTTCGCTGTTCAAATCATATGTTAATGATTGAATATGGAAGACGTTTAAGTCTTGCACGCAACGAACGGTTGTGTCCCTTGTGTGTTTTTCCTATGATCGAATATGAATACCATTTTTGCCTTGAATGTCCATTCTATCACGATCTGAGAGCATCTCTCATACCACGTTTTTATCATGTATACCCTTCTGAAAACAAGCTATAGCTCTACTGTTTACTTCTCAAAATAATACTGTTATTTACAACCTTGCTAAATATATATTTTTAGCTATGAAAAAACGTATGAGATATTTTCCATCCTGCTCATCTTGTGTTTACATCTCTTTACAATTATACCTCTATCCGTCACTTTTATGGCGCTTCATGTCATATCTTGAATCCTTCTGGCATGTATGTGTATAAAGGGCCGGTGGCCCCCCTTACTGAATAAACATAACATACCCAAACTATGGTAACTTTTAACACCAAGGAAATTTAATGGCACGTAATACGTATATAATATATTACTGTCACAGTTCACAGTTCATTCAAACACCAGAGCATCCTTTGGATGTGTGGGTTGGGGTGCTGTATGTGTTTATATACTCATGAAAATAATGGTTGTCACCCCCTTCAATTTTTTTATTTGGAGAGAGGGTGTGGGGTGAGGTGTGAGGTGGGGGTGTGAGGTGTGTGGGGGTTGGGATGGGAGGAGGGTGACAACCATTATTGGCATGAGTATATGTATGTGTATTCATTTTCCTCATTAACATTTGACCTTCGGATATTTTCAACCTATTCATTTTTGGTGTATGTTCTGATCAAACTATTCATGTAAATACAACCCAGTAGACGTAAGGAAGTGTTTTCTTCTAAGGTCACAAAATTAAATGTCTGCCAAGAGTTTCTTCCATATTGAACAAACCTTATGGATAACAACTTCTTTTATTTCGTGAGTGCGAGGTTTCCATACAGATTCTTTTACCGTTGTCATGAAGGAACAACACGCATTCACGAAATAAAAGAAGTTGTTTTCCATAAAGTTTGGTTTATATGATATTGTACTTTCCAACTTCTAAAATGCCACTCAAAGAAGTTAAGAGTTTCTTCTGTCTATTGCTACGTACAGGACGGACGTCTGTTACGTCGCTCTGAACAACGTCTGTTAAATGCTACGTCTGTGATCACACCAGCACCCCGCTAGTTAACGCGACACACTTAAAGAGGTATTACACGGAACATTTGTATTTAAAAAAATATGTCTGGGTTATATTTCGACATGCAGGTTTAAGAAGATGGGGTTTCTCTATTTTAAAAAACTAATTGTCAGATTCCAATTTGGACACATGTCCCTTCACTACATAGAATAACTCGCACACAATATGACTTAAAAATAAGGACATGCGTCCTCTGGTCACCTCTACACATATGACTGTTTACCGTTTAGGTCGTTTACAATCTGAGTCGGTATTGGTAGAATTGTGTAAAGAGCGAGCAGGATTATTCTGTCACCTTCACACCACGGAGGGGACCTCTGCTATATATAGAACCTGTGTGTAGAAATAGTTACTTGATATACAGCCCACATGGAGTCCTGTGTCTATACTGTACCCCACAGTGCACTGTGCCGCTGTCACGTCTCATTCTCCAGTGACAGCTGCCCGATCACAGTTTCGATAAATCTCTCGTGTAGTTCCTGTACAGAATGTACGTTCAAGGTCGTTGTAGGGAACAAGGGCGGTAGCAACCTAAATACAAAACAAAACAAAGCAGGGGCGGATACAGTGTTTTGAGGAAGGGCGGGTGCACACTATTGAGAAAAGGAGGGGTGCACACTTCATTTTCACCCGAGTTTCAATGGTCATTTAACAAACTTTCAGCACAAAGGGGGTGGGGCTGGTGGTGGGGTGGGGGGTGCGCACCCCTGCACCCCCACTCTGGATCCGCCTATGCAAAGTATCATGCCAGTGCTGCCAACACTGAATCTTCGGCTAAGTACCAGCACCCAAATCAAATCACCAAAACGACATGTCTTATTTGGCTTCCAGTCTGGAAGTAATGGTCTATTAAAACCTCATAATTAGTCTTTGTAAAGAATCATATTTTTCCATGCAAAGATACAAAGCCAACTTTTCATACTGAACTAGAGCAGTATTATTACAAATGAGCGGGAGTTTGGTATGATTCTATGAATTTAATTGTCTTTCATTCATGTTTACTGTTACTTGGAAGTTATTGAAATTTCCTGTTGCTTTTCTTAAAAAATGTGAATGATTAAAACGTGTTGTATAAACACATGCCTACATTTTTTTTAAAAAGCAACAGGATAATTCAATAACTTCCAAGTAACAGTAAACGTGAATTACATAAATTGCATTAATAGATCATGTATCCGCCTTTTGTATAAGCCACCTGGAATCTTCTGGGCTGAATGGGGGCGGTGGTAGCCCATTGATTAAAGTGTTCGCTCGTGACTCACTCACATGACATTGGGGAATATTAGTCCACTCGGCCTGAGTGAGCGAGTGAGATTAGTTTTACGCCGCAATATCCAGCAATATCATGGCAGGGGACACCATAGATGGGCTTCACACATTATACCCATGTGGGGAATTGAACCCGGGTCTTCGGCGTGACGAGAGAAGGCTTTAACCACTATACTACCCCCATGGCCTCCCACTCGGCTTGAAGTGCAAGGTCTTTCTGTTACAGATCCTGGAACCAGGACGACACCAATAGGGTTCCGGTCGTATTGGAATCTGATGACTTAGAGGTCACAGAAGGACTGTAGCATCCTGGTTCTGCAGTGCTCGCTGTTGGAGTTGAATATAGACGCGTCTCCCTCTCATTTATACAAAATGGCATGGTCATAAAAATGGTGTTTTCAATCGCTCTATATGGAACACACTCCTCCTTGGTTGAACACCTAAACACTTCGAGGTGACAATTATATGCCAGGACGAAGATCCATCCTTCGACCTCGGTCGATGTGCTATCTGATTCTAGATAAGTCGTCAACCTACAGTATACGTCCTATACAACATTGGTGTTTTCCCAGGTAAAATATATTGTCATCAATCGGGACATTACATTAATATTGCTGTAGAAAGCGCAAAGCACATCGGTCACCTGCATTAGTTAAATGAGTGAATGAGTATGGTTTTACGCCTCTTTTAGCAATATTCCAGCAACATCACCAGAAAAGCGTTTCACACACTTTACCCATGTGGGGAATCTAACCCGGGCCTTCAGCGTGACGAGCGAACGCTTTAACCAGCAGGCTACCCTACCGGCCCCATTAGTCAAGGATCACTGGGCTGTAGCCAATGCAGGGTAGGCTGGCTATCCAACCAGCCGGGTAGATGCCTTTAAACTCATTGTTCACATAAGGCGATCATGTCATATACATGCTTCAATGGCCAAGCATAAGTGTATCACGTTTGACTAATAGGTTTGTTCAGATAAGAATAAAAATTGTTCGATAAACCGACACAGATGTTATTCGAAACCAAAATTGGCACTCATTTA